TGTGGCTATGGCTCCGGATATGGCTGTGGCTATGGCTCCAGATATGGCTGTGGCTATGGTTCCGGATATGGCTGTGGCTATGGCTCTGGATATGGCTCTTCCTGCTGTAGCTACCGGCCAGTTGTCTACAGAAAATGCTATTCTTCTTGCTGCTAAATATCACCACAATGCAGAATTTCTTCCAAAATGATCACTCCAAGGCATTTCTTCTTCACTGACTCATGATCACTACTGTATCCACTGAAAAGAGAGTATTGAGAACCTGAGAACCTGAAGAAGATTCTTTGTCCTCTTGGCACTGAGAGAAACTGAGTTACTTCAGGATCTTCTTGGAAAGAAGAAACATGGTTAAAGTCATAGAGCAAGTTGAACTCCTCTAGCTTCTTGAGCATATTTCTATATTGTGATCATTTCCAAATAAAACTGATTATTTGCTCCTAATAAGCTTGTGTATCTATTGTATCAGGTGTGGCCATTGACTTAAACTACCTTCTATATCTGTGACCTCCTCAGAGCCTGGTAGCACTAACCTCAGTGGCCATCCCATTCGTGTCTGGTCTCTACTCTCATTGCTCAGCTCCTGTGATTTACTGAAGGATATTTGAACACAATCATCCTAAAATAAATAGGTCCACATTGGTTAGTCTAGTGTTTTTAAGTCAGTATGAGAAAGCATTTATTCTTCAACTTTTGTTTTTCGTGGGTCTGGGTCTGTCTATTTTTTTTCTATATGTACACTCATCAACATGCAAACACATATAAACACAGACATGTCTCAGGGTAATCTGGTTTGGAAGATTGTAATGCTGAAAAGATTGTTTTGAGTCAGTATAAAAGTTGAGGAAAAACAAATAGGGAAGGTCATGTGCACGCTTATGTTCATTGCAGCACGGTTTAAAACAGCCAGGTTTGGGAAACACCTCTGTGCCCAACAACAGGTGAGTGTGTTAAGAAGATGAAACCCTGTATACACATCTGAATGCTAGATAGTGACTCTAAACATGAAATTTTGCCACTTGGAACAGCACGAATGGAACTGGCAATGATGGTGTTAAGTGAAATAAGAAAGGGGAAGGACAGTACTGAATGATTTCACTCATATGTAACATACAGGTAAACAAACAAAAACATAACAGAATGACATCTGAACACAAGTAGGCTATTTTAGAGGAAAATTATAAACTCATGGAGGGAGGTACAGTGAATCTACTTGTAAGTACTTAGTCTTACCCTAGTCTAGAAAATTATTGGTTAGGAACAGATGAGACCTCTGAAATCTGATGTGAAAAAGGTGATGTCATTAAACACACAACTTGAACCTTTTTTGTTTGATTCTGGAACCAGTGGCCGGCGATAACATGTATAAGGTTTGGCACACTAAATACAAAATGAAAAAATGTAAATTTTACTAAATGTTTAACTTTTAAGTTTCATTGCATTCATGCAATATTTGGGCCATATTTGCTAAATTGTGCTACTCAAATTATATGGCAATGATATTTTGCTGATGTCCTGAGTGAAGACTTGATTACAATATTGGGAATGAGATCCTGACTTGTGATCCCTGTTGAATGTGCTTGTATCGAGGAATACTGTGCTGTAATGAATTAATTTCTGAGCTACTATTTTCTTTAGTTTGATAATTTGTAACAGCCTGCTTCTACAGTTATTTAGTTCTGTGGTCAGATATGTGGTTGACCTAAGTGGCTTGGTGATCATGTTCACATGTCAGGTGAGGTGAGGAAATGTTGACACCAAACATTACTAGGAACAGAACATCCCAGAGGAAAAGCAGGAGGGTAAGAGGCACTAGCAACTATACTTGATTAACCTTATACAGTGTTGTAAATTAATGTTCCTTATTAATTATGTTCAAACTTATTTGGATTCATATGGTACATAACATAGAGCAGTGAGGAGTTTCAATCTAAGGCAGCATTGTGATTTCCTATGAAGGAATAAAAATTGGCAAGTTCGTCAGTTAGTAGTCAAGCTTATTTTAATAGTCATATTGCCAAATTTAATATGCTCCTACAAAGAGCATGCTATAATATCACCACTCCAGTTCTGTCCATGTTGCTGTACATAGATAGATTTGACCATACTTCATAAATTGGGTAATAGCCATTGAGAGCTATACCACACCACTATCCACTCATAGGACTTGGGCTCCTGGGTTCTCTCTATAATCTGGCTAAAGTAAATAGTGCCACAGTGCACACAGGCATGCACATGCCCCTTCAGCTAGTGTCTTTGTACCTGTCAGGTAGTTACCTAGGACTGGAATTGCTGGGTTATATGGCAAATATGTCATTTAGGATTCTGAGACTGACCCACCTCTTTTAGCTTTTTGTCTTCTGTTCCTTTATTTTCCAAGAGAACAGACTGTCCTTGATGTCTTTTTCATCAACAATTTTTTGTTGTTGCCTTTTTCTAAGTAGCACGATTTAGCAAATATGGCCCAAACATTGTATGAATGCAATGAAACTTTAAAAAGTTAAACATTTAGTAAAATTTACATTTTTCCACCTTGTATTTAGTGTGCCAAACCTTATACATGTTATCACCGGCCACTGGTTCCAGGACCAAACAAAAAAGGTTCAAGTTGCGTGTTTGATGACATCACCTTTTTTTCTAAGTGTTAGGACCCTTATGGTTGCATGTTTTTCTTTTTTTCTTTTCATTTACATAGTAGTAAGGCTTATCTGCTATCATTGATTCAACTGCCATATATACACAAAAGCCTCATAAAACCTAAAGCTCTCGGCCTGGCCTCATTCTGTGTCCAGTCAGTAGATAGGAACCTCACATTAGCTTAAAAGGCAACGCTTGTTATTAAAATTAAACTTAAGCTATAATTGTACGTTGATTACAGGGTGTGAAAAGGCTGCATGATTGCCAAGGTGTGGAACTCTACTCAAGAAAGGTAAAACATGGAATGACAGTTCCAGCATCCTGGATAGCAAACAGGAAATTCACTCCTTTTGCCAGGCTGTAGTTGATCTATATTCAGTGATCCATAGGAGACACCCTCTGTAGTGCAGATGGTGATCAAGCATTTAGCGGATGGTTGATGTTCTGGGAAGTTCAGGGGCACAGGCAGTTCTCTGGGGGTTAGGGGGAAAGCCTGTGAGTGAATCTGAGTGTCTGGTTGGGTTTCTGGGCTACAGATGCTCAGGGATGAGAAATCTTCAAGGAGCTCATTTTAACAGAGGTGAACAAATAAACAATATTCTTGAAACTCCAACATCACTGATCACAACCAATTAAAAGAGTCTAAAATGACCACTACCATCCACAAGGGGAGCAAACAAAAAATGCAGAAGTGCTTTCTCCTGCAGTTTTTCCCCTGCAACACTCTACTCATGAAAACTTTATCCCATGATCAGAGTAAAGTGCAGACCCGTCACTTATCACAGAGCATATGTTGAGTTGATAATATTAGGAAGATGAGTGGCAGCAGGTTCAGAACATTTCTTTCCCAGACTCAGTGGCTGTGCAGGAGAAACAGATTTTCATGTCCAATTTGTCAGACCATTTATTAATTATGGGACTATGGGAAGCATTCTCAGATTTATGTACTGTGTTTTCCGTAACTATTAAATAAGAATAATTGCATTAAAAATGTCTTGGAGTCTTTAGGAATCATATAGGAACCACAATGAGTGAAGCACAGATCCTGCTATATCAGGAGTCACTATCTTTTCCCTGATCTTGTATCCAAACTGAAGAATTCCCAAATAATAAGTTTTCAAATATCTATATAAATGTAAGCTGATGCTTTTCTTGTGTTAAAATATTAACACTTACATAATTGTAAAATTAGCAAAGTAAGTAAGAAAGAGAAAGGCAAATATAGGATGCTTCTCTCATTTTGGTGTATAATAAGCAGAACAGAGAAACAGAAAAAGCTAAACAAAAGAAACACACCCTAGAAACATGCCTATAGAACTGGGAGATAGGAGATTGAAAGCTATATATTGCAAATTACTGGGGCTTTGGTGCTGGGTGTGATAGGTAACATGTGTGTAGAAGTGTTCACCTTATCCTAAATGCATTACATTGCTGTAAAGCAATGGGCATTAATAAAAGTAGTTTTTAAAATTTGCAAAATAAATGTAGGGACAAATAATAAGTACCATGGAACAATAAACAATAATGTCATGATTATGAAGTATCTAGCCAAAATAGTATGGGTAAATATCATTATTCAAGTATTATTTGAGAATCAATCAGAATAAAATACTGCAAATGTACAAGTACTGGTGTTTGACTGATCACATTGGTGTGGATATCCTGACTGCTGATGTGAGTAACCTTAGAAGGAGACTGAATTGAATACTTGGGTGTGAACACAGACATTCTTAAACCAAGTCATTTTCCTCTCTCAAAAACTAATTGCTAGAAGGTTTTCCTTTGTTAACTTCTTTATAGTATACCATTGATTACTTATCCAATGTTAACTAAAAATTTTACATGAAAGCTATGATAGAATATAATAAACTGATGGAAAGGATAATAGAAGATAACTTTGGAGAGGAGGAGATTATTTCAGGGACTAAATGTAGCATGTTGAAATACTTAATTCCTTGTTCTAGCTAAACAGAGTACGTTATAGTATTTGCCTTATTAATGGAAAAAAGGAACATATGATAGTGGTGATATCGATGTGAAAGGGGAGGATATGAATAGCCATCAGTAGAACCTTGTGCTCATTGTTGATAGTTGTTTTCTAAGACAATGAAAGAGCAAAGTAGTAAACACATATCCAGGCCAAATGTATTTATTGGCATGTTATGTCAGAGAGAGAATTGGTTACATAATCTTGGGTGCTCGGCACATACATCTTTACATTTGAAATAACCCTTAGAAAATTCCTATCATGGCAGTAAGTAATGTGACATCCTGAAAAGATTGCTGTATACAGAATGAGCTCATTTTAGCAAATAGTTGTAAAATGAGAACAGAGCCCATGTGAGGTAGGGCACACCCATTCCTGGAAGTATATAAGTGTCCTGCAAGAGCAGTTGATACTCAACTTCAGAAAGATCCTCCTACAGTTCACCTGAAACTTCATCTCCTGACACCATGTGTTGCAACTACTTTGGAAACTCCTATGGCAGCTACGGCTGTGGCTATGGCTCCCGCTATGGCTGTGGCTATGGCTCAGGCTATGGCTGCGGCTATGGCTCCGGATATGGCTGTGGCTATGGCTCCCGCTA